CCCCAAAACCCCAAAACCCCAAAACCCCAAAACCCCTATTTTTAGTCAGATCATAGAATAATTTTTAAATGGGAATTACTGATTCAAAATCCCAGTTTGAAGCAGGCCATATTGTGCTTCAAACTACAAAACCGTACTACGCTCCAGGAGAAGAATTGACAGGGAATATTTATATATCTCTAGATAAGCCATTCCCAGGCTCAAATCTTGAATTATCCCTCAAAGGAAAGGAGGACGTAGCGTGGACAGTTAGGAAGGAGTCTAGCGATAATTATAATAGACATTATACAAGATACATAGAAGATGAGGCTGAAATTATCAATTTTGTAGCTCCTATCCATACATTCATGGGTGGATCAGTCCAGCCAGGACAATACGATTTCCCATTTAAGCTTATTCTACCTGATGATATCCCTTCTAGTTGTTATTTTGCTACAAGTTCTTCTTACAAAACACATGCAAAGGTAAAATATCGGCTGAAAGCAATTCTTAGGTGCAATACTGATGAAATGAAAGACATGTCTTTCAAACAGACCCTTATCATAAGACAGCAGCCTGATGTTGTCCCTATGAGTAGCATGGCTGACTTTAGCGACCAGGTAAACAGCTGATGCTGCTGTTGGTCTCAAGGAGTTGTGACAATGCAGTCTCAGACAGACAAAGCTGCTTACACTCCAACGGAAACTGTTAAGATTATTGGAAATATTGACAATAGCAACTGCACAAGAGATATTAAGAAAGTTAAAGTTCAATTAGTAGAGAAAGTCAGACTCAATGCAAGGAGAAAGGTGAGAAATATGCTAAGTCCTTTTGAGTCCCCTGAAGAGAAGCTGATGGGCTTTCTTACTTCTGAAGATACAGAGTATAATAATAGCTTTGTAATACTTGAAAAAGACTATCCAGGGATTCCTAAAGGAGAAAGTACCAAAGGAGAGAATCAGTATATGGAACTGCCACTGAGTGAATATGGTCAAGATCTTAATGATAAAGACTCAAAAGAAGAATCCAAGGATGATCATAAAGAAGAAATCAAAGACAGGGACGATAAGGATGACAAATATTTAGCAGAGGGGGTTCAGCCTACAAGTATTGGGAAATTAGTGAATATCACTTATGAACTAAAAATAGTTCCCGATTATGATATGTGCTGCGGTTGTTGCTCAAGAGTTGAGACCACAATTAGTCTATTTATCTCTCCACCAAAACTTCAAAGCTACCAAGTTTTGCATGCTCCTCCAAACTGGGACCCACAAGTGTTCAAGAGCAAGAATTTCCATGAGCCTATACAGAAGATTGAAGATCAAGTAGAAGAGTCCTAATTCATTTGCTGATTCTATGCCATTCAAATTTAATTAAATAGTAAGGGGTTTTGGGGTTTTGGGGTTTTGGGGTTTTGGGG